AAAATACGTATCCATTAAACGATGTATAAGTACATGTTGGTAGGGTATTTTAATACTGTGATTAAGCTGTCTTTAGCTGGATGTGCCCCTGTAATCTCAGCACTGTAGGTGCCCAAAGCTGGAGGAGAGGGTGCAAACTTGAAAATGCATGCTGGGCATCATACTGAGCTCCTCCATCTTAAGAAATCTTGAGTCTAATTTGTATTACTAATGAAAATATTCTCAGTCCTAGGAGCATACTATTGAACATACTGCTCATAAACAATATTGTGCTGTATGTTATTGGAGATCAAATCCAGGACCTTGTACATTCTAGTCAGCTCTCAACTACGTCTCCAACCTGTAAACATGAATTTATAAATATATTAAGGATTCTAGAAGGAACTGTGTTCTGATGTTTCCCTAGTCCTTCTTGTAAGAAAGTACTCATTTCATTTGAACAATAGTCACTTTTAACAAATCTGCAGCATAAACATCACCTGGCACTTGCTGAAAATGCAGAGTCCTTTTGAATTTTAATCTGATATTTTTGGTTGATTGGGTAGGTGGGTGGGGGAGGATACTGAGGAATCCTGTCAGACAAGCCCCCTTCCACTGAACTACATTCTTAGCCCCATCATTTTATTTGAGACAGGGTTTCACCGTATAGCCCTGTAGCTAGCCTGGAAGTCACTATACAGATCAGGCTAGTTTGAACTCAGAGATCTAATTGCCTCTGCCTTCCCAGTGCTAGGATGAAAGGCATGGGCCACCATGTCCAGCTCCATAATTTCACTTTAATAGGGTCTTTAGTTATAGTTCAGAGGTGCTTGAAGATGAGGAACTAATGCAAATCACTAAATACAGAATTATTACTATTTCCAGGTCCCTGACATTACTTATAAGAGAGATTCTATCTGGTTCTGTATTTCTTCCTTCTTTGGATTTCCTCGCTGATCCAGTAAGATTAAAATTTTTTAATTATAAAATATACTTGAATTACTGTTTAACTATTTTATGTGTATAGTACATTGTTATGAAATGTGTACTTATTTGAACAGCTGTCAACATTACTTTCCAAAACTTTGGTCTTAACAAAACCAAAACCCTATAAATTCTATACCCATAAAGAATAATTCCTTATTCTCCCTTGAGTCCTTGGCAATTGTATAACATGTTTTAGAATTCTTTTCTTTTTCAGTTCTCAATAATAATCTATTACATGTATGTGTCACATTTTGCTCATTTATCCATTGATGGATACTTGGACAATTCTGACTTAGGCTCAGTTTGATTTTTGAAAAACAGGTATAATTTAAATGGCAAAGCATATTGCTCTTGCTCATGTTTAGACAGTTAAGAATTTATTAGAGTTCTTTAGGAGTTCCTCTGTAATATGTATGTGCAGAAGTTTAGCCTCTGCTGTTTATTTTTCTAGTGAACTTGATAATGTGAAAGTTCTGAGAATTCTTGGCAGAATTTGACAATGAAATTATTTTGACCTGTGTTTATTGCTTTTTATTAGGATACTGTCAATCACTTGCTTATCATCTTCATAGATGACAGTCCTGTGAGTATTGAACATATTGCAACACTTGTAACTGCATTCAGTTTTGACTGTGTATGCCAACTCCAGTGTGGATTTTACTGAGCTGATAATTCTGTTTCTTCAAAGCCTGAAAAAGCGACTGAACCAGCTTCTCCTTTGGTTCCATTCTTGCAGAAATTTGCAGAACCTAGAAATAAAAAACCATCTGTGAGTATTTTCAGCACTAACGTTTTTGAGATAAAAGTTTTAAAATACATTTATGTATCTTTAACTTACTCTTCCTCTCATATTGTGACAAGGTGCTGAAGTTAGAGTTGAAGCAAATCAGAGAACAACAAGATCTTTTATTTCGGTTTATGAACTTTCTGAAACAAGAAGGAGCCGTGCACGTGCTTCAGTTTTGTCTGACTGTTGGTGAGGCTTCATTTGCACTTTACTAGTGTCGTTTTCATGCTTGTTAATGCTTTGTTATTTAGGGCAGATCTGATGTGCCCAGCCTAAATTTCACCTGCTAGATATTCTAAGAGTGACTGAATTTCTCTCAGTTGTCTATTCCTTCCCAGGTGGGGCATGATCTTATCTTTCGCTGTGGTCAAATCCTATAGCAGAAAAGAATTACTAAAAAATCGAACATAGTGATATGTGTGAGAGGTCACACTAACAGTACCAATCAGTACCACCTTGTCTTCATTTTGTTCAGAATATCAAACTGTAATGTCACGGGTCATTGGATTTATGAGAAACTTTTTTTTTTTTTTCTGCTTATAAGAGTTTATTAGAGATAAAGGGATAGAGTGCGCAGGCCTGTGGGAGAGACACGGAGAAACTTTATGAGCTCTTGTAGATGAATTTTTCTTTGGGCTTACAAAAAAATGGCACAGAGACTTAGGAATTATGAAAGCTTGGCCTTTAGTTTAGGCTTGTCCCCCTAGCTCATAACTTAAATTAACCCATTTATATTAATCTGTGTTTTGCCTTGTGGCTTCTTACCTCTCTTCCATCTTGCACCTCCTGTTTCCTTTTTGTGTCCCCTGGCATCTCTCCCGTACTTTGATTTATCTCCTCTCCTTTTCCCTCTGCCTGGAAGTCCCACCTAACCTCCTTGTCTAGCTATTGGCCATTCAGCTCTTTATTAAGCTGATCAGAAGGTGCCTTGGCAAAGACACATGTTCACAGAGTACGAAAAGATTATTCCACAACAAGCTGTATTTTTATTATTTAGTGAGTCATCAGATTTTAAAACATTGAAAGACCTTTAGTATAAGAAACTAATCCAATATGTTTTTTTAGAGAAAATCTTACAAATATACTTACTATTCTGTTGTTGCAAATTTGTATTGCTATTTATACATTGACATATTTTATATTGACATAAAAATCTTGACTTTGTCTTTCATCTGAGTATTCTCTCAAGTGTTTTTTAAAAGCTTAAATTAATTAATTTGATTGTATTTGCTGTTTTTAGTTAGAATAAGAATATGAAGTTTTCATGAAAGCATTTATAATAAACTAACTTTTTTCTTAATTTTTCTTTGATTTGTTAGAGGAATTTAATGATAGAATTTTGCGACCAGAGTTATCAAATGATGAAATGCTATCTCTACATGAGGAATTGCAGAAGATTTATAAAACATATTGCTTGGATGAAAGTATTGACAAAATTAGATTTGATCCCTTCATTGTAGAAGAGATTCAAAGAAGTAAGTCAAGAATGACAGAGTGGATATTCTAGATCTTTCCAGTTTGCTAAGTTTTCTTCATGTATTTTTTTCTATTTTTGTTTGTTTGGTTTCTTTGAGACAGGGTTTCTCCATGTAGTTTTGGTGCCTGTCCTGGTTAACTCTGTAGACCCGGCTGGCCTCGAACTCAAAGAGATCTGCCTGCCTCTGCCTCCCGAGTGCTAAGATTAAAGACATGCGTCACCACCGCCCAGCATTTTTTTATATTCTTAAAAAGATGTATTTATACATTTACTTATTTGAGTGAAGGTTCTCTCACTATGTATATCCCTGGCTAGCATGGAATTTGCTTTACAGACCAAGTTGGCCTCTATTTCGCTGGGGCTGGGATTAAAAGCCTAGGTCCACACCTGGTCCTTTTTATTATTTGTGTGTGTGTGTGTGTGTGTGTGTGTGTGTGTGTGTGTGTGTGTGCGCGCGCGCGCGCATGTGTATGCACGAGCACAAGTGCCCTTGGAGGGCAGAGGCTTCAGTTCCCTCTGGCACTTGAGTCACAGGTTGTTGTGAGCTACCCAACAAGAGTTCTGGGAACTGAACTCCAGTCCTGTGCAAGAGCAGTATGTACTCTTGACCGCTTCGTGTATTCTTTAGTCAACAGCTGTGGAAGCTATATGGGCAGCTTAAGTTGCTATTTTTTTTTTTTCTTAAATACTAGAGATCTTTGATTAACTTTCTTAGTTTAAAGAATTCGAGCCGGGCGGTGGTGGCGCATGCCTTTAATCCCAGCACTCGGGAGGCAGGGGCAGGTGGATCTCTGTTAGTTCGAGGCCAGCCTGGTCTCCAAAGCGAGTTCCAGGAAAGGTGCAAAGCTACACAGAGAAACCCTGTCTCGAAAAACAAACAACAAAAAAAAAAAAAAACAAAAAAAAACAAAAAAAAAGAGTTCTGTTTTTCCATACTTATTTCACTGACAAGATGAAAGCTTTGAGAAGAGGAGTGTTGGCTATTTGCATAACTGAGGCAAGCCTGGAGGTACAGGTCTGTAATGCTAGCACTTGGAGCTGGAGGCAGGAAGAACAGTTTCTGGGATAGCCTGTACTACAAGTTCCGGTATAGTCTGGCTGCCTAGTAAGATCCTGTCATTTAAAAAACTCATAAAACAAAACAACTCATGTAACTAATGTTTGTCAGCACTGGAGGTAGGTTATTCTCATCTCTCATTCTAGGAAGATTTCTTCTGGTGGTGTTAATATAAAACATAATTTATACATTTGTTTCACTAATGGATTTTAAATGAATATATTACATTTCTGTTTTTCAGAAATAATTTGTGCAATTAATTTTTTTTGAATAGTTGCTGAAGGCCCATACATAGATGTTGTGAAACTGCAAACCATGAGATGTCTTTTTGAAGCATATGAACATGTTCTTTCCCTCTTGGAGAATGTGTTTACCCCTATGTTCTGCCACAGTGATGAGGTAAGTCAGGCTTTCAATAGAGGACTTTATATACTTCATAGTGGCTCTGATAGCATTAGGTAAGCAGTCATTAAGTAGCAAAATTAAAACAAAATGAAGTAAGGTAAACAGGTATATTTCAGTGTCAAATACTGGTTTAGTTAATCCTAATTTGTATTTATTGTTTTGAAGTATTTCAGGCAACTTTTAAGAGGTGCAGAATCACCAACACGCAATTCCAAGTTCAACAGGTAGGCATACTTAACTCTGGGTGTCTACTGATTTTGACTTGCTGTTGCTGATCATTCTGTGATAGCATTATAGTCTTGATCAACTGTTTTTCTGAATGAAATCCACCTGCTAGAGAAATGTAAATCAAAGGCTTCAGCTTCAGCAGGGAAGCTTTCTTTGCCTTTTTAAGAGCATCCAATATCTTTAGCACACCCTTTTCTAGTTTTAAAATATAAAAATGGCAGGATGAAAATACAGCTACTAATAGAGCCACTTAAAGTATGTTTTTTTTTTATATTCACCTGACTTTAATGTTAACTATCACACTTAAGAGGACTCCTTTTCTGATACTTAGGGGTTCATTTACCTAAATAGAATCAGTAGAAGAGTTTGCTAACATTCTTAATTTGAAAATTTAGAGTGGCCTGGATAAGTTCCTGTTAAAATGACTTACAGTATATAAAGTAGTCTTTAATTTTGTGGTTTGTTTACTTGTATTTTAAAAGCAAAACTGTAGTGCACATAGCTAATTCTGACCTACTTCATTATGTATTCAAAGCATAACTCTAGGAATATTTTGTTTACATTTTAGCTTCAAGTATTCTTTAAAAAGTTGTGGTTTTTTTTGTTTCTTTGTTTGGGATTGAATCCAGGGCATCATGAATATTAGGCAACAATATTACCACTGACATCCTTAGGCCCCAGACATTTTGTTGTTTATATGAGATAGGAGCTCACTGCGTAGTCTAGGCTAGCCTCAAACTTGTGACAGTGCTAGGATTATAGGTGTAGGTATAAGACAGCATGCTTGGAAGAGCACTCTTTTTCACTTCCACCTAAATAAAGGTATGTTAAGAAGCATGTATGAGTACATCTAACATAGACACCATTCTGCATTAAAGAATCTGAGCTGCCGTTTGCTAGCTTAGTCTTTACATATTTTCTGCTGTGTCAAATGGGATGCCTAAGGAGAAGAAAATGATGAGTTATTTCCTGACATAGTGTTTTCAAGATCACTAATAATCTAGATCACATACACCCAAACAGCCATGCACTGTTCTTTCTCCCCTACACTGTGTTATTCATAGGATTTCCTCCTTTTGCAAGGGTGGATGCTATCCACTTGTATAACTTTTAAGCTTTTTAAATTTGATTTTATATTCTAAAGTGAAACCTATTTAATATCTGGGCTTTCTCTCTCTCCTCCTCATATAATCTTACATATCTGATATTGCAGAGGTAGCCTAAGTTTGGATGATTTCCGGTAAGTCTTGAGCATGTGATTTTTTTTCCAGTGTAAATTATCTGTTTTAATCTAAAAAGTTCACCCCAAGCAACCTAGGTGCATCTAGAAAGGAAAAATATGAATCACTGTGTTGTCCATGCCTTTATATAAATTATTTAGGATAAGTTTTTAAAGTGGATCTCTATTTTGGCTCTAGAAATATTTTTGAAATAATATAATTGTAAAGTAAAATGCCCTAATATTATTAAGATATGTATTATTTATTTACCAGTATCTTACTTTTCAAAGTTGTTGACTCCCTTTGGGGGTAAGGAGGGTTGCTGATTTTGCTGAACAATTTTTATAATTATTTGGGTTTAAAGACTTGTATGTTTTATTTTTTCTCTTCCTGCCCCAAATAAATATAATGATGTTTCTGTGGATCTAGTCATAATCACAAATTAGACCTTTAAAAATATGTCACAGTTCAAAACCTGTATTGTTTTATAATCTCTAAAGCCTGGAACAGCCTGCCCAGGGTCTAGAAATTTTAATATTTTTGTTGCCATTTACATTTTCATATGGTAATAGTCCTGTCATCAGAGCTTACAATGTCGAAAAATGTTATTTTTTAAAACACTTAACTGCACGCTTGTTTAGAGAAAAGTAGTCTAGTTTGCTTCTAGTACTGTTCACTACTAACTAATAGTTTTCTAGCTTTAAGATAAGTTTGGTTTGTTCCAAAGACAATGCATGAAATAATCTTGTCACAGTAAACATGGTACGTTTGAAAGTTGATCAGTGTTCTTTTATATCTCTAATTGTGGAATTATTTTAGTGGATACATTGTGTTTATAGGAATAATAGCTTCCATTGAGTTGAGTATTCTAAACAAATGATCAGATTTAACAGCAGTCTCTGTAGTTGGGTCTCTGGTGGTACTATGCATGTTTTAAATTAGCTACAATTTATGGTTTGCTTTCCTGAAATGTGGAACATTTGGCTCTAATGGATCTTTTTTTAAATTTTTATTTATTTATTTATTTATTTATTTATTTATTTATTTATTTATTTATTTATTTATTTACTGCTTGTAGGTCCCCCCCCTCTTTTTTCTTTCTAGCTACTTCTGTTTTTGGAAATTCACTTTTGGAAATATTGTAGAGCTAGTTGCTTCCTTGGAGCTATGCCTGCTTTTCTTTCCATCATTGCTAGCCTTTCCCTCTTTTTTTTTTTTTTTTTTTTTGGTATGAGTGCTCTATCTACATATATGACTGCACGCCAGAAGAGGGCATCAGAATCCCATTAATAGATGGTTGTGAGCCACCATGTGGTTGCTGGGAATTGAACTCAGGACCTCTGGAAAAGCAGCCTGTGCACTGAGGCATCTCTTCAGCCCTCGTCTTTTTTTTTTTTTTCTTTAATTTGTGTTACTTTGAAGTACATTTGTTTTATACCTAATTCCTTCTGGAATCCGAGATTATAAAATTGAACTTAGTTGAGCATTTGCCGTAGAGGTAAATTGTTTTTCATTAAGTTTCATCTAAAAAATGTAATGAGAAGATCATAGTTTTATATTTTTATGTTGCATTCTTATTTTAGTGATTCAGTTCTTCTAAATCAGTGGTTCTCAACCTGCCTAATGCTGTGACCCTTTAATACACTTCTCATGTTGTAGTGACCCCCAACCATAAAATGTTTTCATTGCTGTTTCATAAGTGTAATTTTGCTACTGTTATGAATCATAATGTAAACATCTGATAGGCTACTCCAAAAGGGTCACGACCCACAGGCTGAGAATCATTATTCTAAATGGACATACAGTTTTTAAAAAATTGTTTGGCAGGTTCATACATGTGTATGTTTTGACAAAATTCTTGTGGCAATGAGAACTATATACCACTAGGGGGCTATCATTCTTTCAAAACTTTTAGTTCAGTTAATGTTTTGAAGTCAGCATTAGCTACATTTCAAATGTTAGTTAGTAAATTTTATCTCATTCAAACAAAGAATTTAAATGTTCTGACAATTTTGGCTTCTGGATGTTGAGACTTAATCAATGACTGAAAACTCCAAACACTTAATCTTCCTCTAATTTACCATTTCAAAGCTAATTTGCTTTTTCTTTGCTGTTGTGTATAGTATAGTAGATGCCAATAATTTACTATGTACCTGATGTATTTTTGTTTAATATTTAGAAGCACACAAAAAAGAGGAGAATCATTTGGAATCAGCAGAATAGGTAGCAAAATTAAAGGAGTATTCAAGAGTACTACAATGGAGGGAGCTATGTTACCCAATTATGGTTTGGCTGAAGGTGAAGATGACTTTGTAAGTGAAAATTCTTTAATTAAAAAAAATTCAACTTGCTATATCTACAGTTTTGTGCTTAATGTAGCATTAAGTGTGGGGTGACTTATTTTCCCTTTCTTTCAGACTTCTTTTATATACAAATATTAATTTTTTAAATTAGTTTTGTAGTTTCATTGTACTTATCCCATTACAATTTTTTTCTTAGACCCGAGTTATCATTAAGGAAAATAAGCCTAGGCATTTCTGATAGTCAAACAGTTTACTACTTTTTGTGTGTGCTTGTGTATGTATGTTTGTATGTGTGCAGGTGTGTGTGTGTGTGCACATGTATGTGGAGGCCAGAGGACTAAGTAAGGTGCCATTCATCTGGCATGATGTGCCTCTTTTTTTTTTTTTTTTTTCTTTTCAGAGAGAGAATGTGTGTACATGTGAAATTCAGGGGACAACTTGGAAGGAGTCAGTTCTTTCCTTCTACAGTGTAGGCCCTGGGGATTGAACTAGGTCACTAGGCTTAGCAGCAAGCACCTTTACTTAACTAAGGCATCTTGCTGGCCTTATTTTTTTATGTATGTATGTATGTATGTATGTATGTATGTATGTATGTATGTATGTATTGAGACAGCGTCTCTCACTGGCCTGGAGCTCAAGTACGTTAGGCTAGCATGCCATTGAGAGCCAAGGACCTGCCAATGTCTACCTCCCTGGGGTGGGAACTACTATGGGGAGTAACTGCACTACTGTGCACAGCTTTCTTCTTTCTTTTTTTCTTTTTTTTTTTTTTCAGCAGGATCTATTAGCTGGGAATAGTGGTACATACCTTTAATCCAAGTACTTGCAAGGCAGAGGCTGGCAGATCTCTGAGTCTGAGGCTCGCCTCAGTCTACACAGTGAGTTCCAGGACAGACAGAGATACATAGTGAGACCCTGCTTCAAAACAAAACCAAAACCAAACAAGTAGATAAATAAATCAGGTTCTGCCTCACTATGTAGCCCTGGCTTGCCTGGGGCTCACTATGTAAAGCCAGGCTGGTATTGCCTCAGTCTCCTGAATGCTGGGGTTAAAAGCATATGCCACCACATCTAGCTCATAGCTTTTCCATGTCTGTTCTGAAGATTTAACTTGATCCTTTTTGTTGGCAAGGCAAGCACTTTATGGAATGAGTCATCTTCCTAGCCCTATATCATCTTTTCATTGGGCTTTTGTTTCAATCCTGATGTTATCTCTTTCCAACCATGTGCTTCAGGAGTGTTTGTGTTATTTAGAAGCCTCAATTCCCATTGCTTAGACTGTGGAACTTATCCATGCAGGCTCTCAGGCCTCATGCTAGACCTGTTTGGTAAGATTCCTTATTTGTGTGTATGTGTATTTTGCTCACCATGCTATTGTGCCTTTCTGTACCTTTGCACATGCAGTCCTACTTGATGGTCCTTTCCTTCTGTTCTGTACACAGAAAACTTCACGTTTATCTATTTATTTATTATTTAAAATTTGCTTCATGTCCATTAACCTTTACATGAGCTACCAATAGACCTGAGTCTTTTCTCACCATTTATTTATTTATTTTTAAATTTTCTCACTTTTGTGACCTTGCTACTGTTACTATTATTATTGTTTTGAATTTTGATATTATTATTTTGAATACTACATGGTAATTTTACATATGGTGTGT